CCTCTGGAGCTGATGCTAAATGCTATCATGCTGTCAGTAATTTCTGAACAGCTAGATGAAGTACATGAGAGTACCTGCCCCTGAACCTGGTTTTGCCAGAGGTGTCTCCCAGGAACACTTCCCTTGTGCTTTAGGAAATCAGTTTTTTCCTATTTCTGTTTTGTTTGTTTTTCCTATTTCCGTTGTGTTTTGTGTGCTTTTGCAGCATTTTTCTTATTGCTGGTGTTTTCTTAAGTTGCAGTCCATTCGGCCTCTCAGGGCCACCGTACCATATAAATAAAACTGAATTGAATTGAATGAGTTAAACAAGACAACAGGTATTCGAGTTTCAGGTTACAGCAGCTGAGCTAGTTTTGCAGTGCCAAGGCTCAAAACAAACCAAACAAATGTGATATCTGTTTTATTGTAATATATATCTGGATTTTCATGTCTGAGTTCATAAATGATCAAGACTGAAACAATCTCATCCCATTACAAGTGGAATTAAAATCCAACTGATAGTGGACTACAGTATTAAACTTTAGGCGATAAATAAGAGATTGGCATTCATCCAAACACTGAGGCTAAAGGCGTCAGGCAAAGGTGGAGTTGGTTGGTGTTTCCCGTCCTTGACAGGGAGGAAAAACAGGTCTGTTCTCCTCCAGTTTTGTGCACTGTCACAAAGTGGAGCGTTAAATCCAATAAAGCTCCTTCAGCAGTTCGTGTGTATGACCGCAGTGTTTAATTCATGTATAGATTAGTGCGCAGTGTTTCACTACATGTATTATTTGATATAATTATTGTAGGATACATTTCAGGTATTCATGGGCTTTTGAAAAAACTGAGTGTACATTCTTATTTAAAATTATTTTTGTCAAAATACGACATAGATGCTTTCATTGTGCAGTTACTCAGTGAGAGCAAAATTGTAATGACAGGAATCATCTCTCTTCTGTTTAATGTCATGTGAGTTATGACGAAGTTTTCTCACACCTTGGGGGAAGAAATGAGTCAGCCAAAAAGGCGTGGGACTGGTTCCGCTTGCAGTAGGAATTTTCTGTGCGCTGACGACACTGTGATGTAATTTCTGAGAATCCATATATTGTAGTTTTTTTTCCAGATATGCTAGTGTGACATCTACACAACCTTTTCCGGAGGAGATGGCTGCTTGACTGCGTAATAATGAAATGCATTCAGGATTAAGTCTTGAATCCGGCAAGATGGAGACATGCACAGGAAATATCGAGTCAGTGTGACATAAGCATACTCTGCTTGGGATTTATTCCATTTCAAAAGCTTTTCAGTCATTTCACAAATTAACTTTTGCTGCTGGATAAGATGAAAATAAAACAGCTTTCATTTGTAACTCAAGCTGATACAATAATTTTTAGAACCATATCCAGCACCAATAGGACATTTGGATTTTCTTTGGCAGCAAAATTAAACAGGTTTCTACGGAAAAGGTTGCATAAATTTAACGTCATCGTACAAATATACTGTGTGCCCTTTTATATAAGGTACCAGTGATGTGCAATGGACCTATCATCAGAAAAAAACACTAGAAATGTATCCCATGTTAAATTTCAGATACATTTTAATCTCACAGATTTGTAAAACAAGCAGGAATTACTAAATACATTGAATGAGCCCAGCCATTCAGTACATGAACTGCAGAGGGCGCTGTTGCAGGTGGACCATTGCTTCAGATCATCATAGCGTCAGTCAGTGATGACAGCAATACAGGAGAGCATGCTGTCGCATCTGTTTCACAACTCCTGATTGTCCGTGTCCTCAGTGCTGCTGCTATGAGGCATTTTCCCTCCTTTTCTCTTTGTCCTGATCCCTGTCCTCATCCTCTTCGCTATCGTCCTCCTCCTCCTCACTTTCACTGTACTGATAGTTACAGCGGTTAGTGTTTACAAAGAGGTCGCTATCGTCATCTTCAGAATCACTAGCATCCTCGTCCTCGTCCTTTTCCAGCTTTTTCTTTGTCTTATCCTGCGTCGAATGCTCGTCCATAAAGCCCTCTGGCCTGGAGACAAGAAAAAAAATGTAAAAAGTGCAAAACATGTGACAAATGAGGCTGATCGAGGAACGTAAAGGTTGTGCAGTGTGTTCCCACCTACCAGAGGTTCTGTTTTTGTAGGTATTGAATGTGATCCTTGTAGAGAATAAAGCTGATCTCTGCCTTCACCTTCTCTCCTTCTTCAATAGGATCCACAATCACATAGTCACCTTTGGAGTGAGAAGATGAAATTTAAATGAATGAACATAAATGGGGGTCTTAATTAGACCAGTACTAGCTAGCGGGAGATCACATTACTAACTTATATGTTTGCACTACGATATATATTATTCTTTTGTTTTGAAAAGGCAATGAACACCATGACAACGAGGTTCACTGTACTGTATACATTATGGATGTGCAGCTGATAAGTCTCCAGCAAGTAAGGTGCAGTGAAATATCAAAAGTGTAAACTAATTAGTAAGCCCACAAAAAGCACCCCAATTTTGTTGTGGGCAGCAGCACACACGGTGCAGCATGAACGTCTGTGCCACAAGCCACTAAATAATATTTGCCACCAGCTGTCACTGGATTATTACTCAAACTTTTAAACACGTAACTTCCCTTTCCATTGCTTACCTCTCTTGATCCAGATGTTCTTGCGGAACTTGGTGGGCATGCTCACCAAGAAGGTCTCACCCTGAGCTGTTACAGCATCATGTAGGTTGTTACCACGGCTCCCAGTTACCTGTAAAAGTGAAGAAGCAGAGGAAACATGGAATCAGAAAAATACACTCAACAGCCACTTTATGAGGTGCACTTGTTCAACTGCTTGTTAATGTAAAATGTTGCAGAGGATGGTCAATGGACTTAGGTGTGTGAAAATGGTCAAGACAACCTGCGGAAGTTAAAACTGAGCATCAGAATGGGGGAGAAGGGCGATTTAAGTGACACTGAATGTGGCATGGTTGTTGGTGTCAGCAAGCTGGTCTAAATATTTTCAGAAACTGCTGATGTGAGACACAATTATCACTACAATTTACAGAGAATAGTTAAATATCCACTCGTTACAACCACAATGTGCAGAAGAGCATCTCTGAACACAGAGCATATCAAACCTTGTTGTAAAGGGACTACAGCCGCAGAAGACCACACTGGGTCAGGTGTCAGCTAAGAACAGGAAACTGAGGCTATAATTTGCACAGGCTCACCAAAACTGGACAATTCAGTTCAATTTTATTTACATTAAATAACAACAAATCACAAGGAAAGTCACCTCAAGGTGCCATATATTGTAAGGTAGAGACCCTACAATAATAGAGAGAAAAGAATCAAATGACCCCCTTTGAGCAAGCACCAGTAGAACCAGGCTCAGGGAGGAGCAGCCATCTGCTGCAATCGGGGGCGAGGGGAGGCAGAAAGAGAAAAAGACACTGGGGAAGAGATCAAGAGAATAGTAATAACTAATGATTCACTGGTGGTGTATAAACACAGTGGGTGAAAACACTGAGTGAGGAAGAAACACTTTGAAGCCCCTGGAGGCCTAGATCTATTGCAGTCACCTGATTCAGCCCTAACTATATCTATATATGAAAAGGAAAGCTTTAATGCTAGTCTTAAAAGTAGAGAGGGCATCTTTCTCCTGAATCCAAACTGGAAACTGATTCCACAGAAGAGGAGCCTGAAAGCTGAAGGCTCTCCCTGCCATTGCACTTTTAAATACCTGCACTGAAACAGGAAAAATCCACTTGTTAGCGTTAATGTTTGGGTTTGAGCAGGGCACCACAGTGTAAATAAGCCTTTCTACAAGTGGTGTTACATGTCCACTTTAAGGCAGCTCTGGAGTTAAATGGGGGTCTTACCTGTACTTCCAATCTGTACCTAAGTACACAAGTATCCAGTGTATGCTGCTGATTACTAAAATGTGAATGTTGTAGTATGTAGGAAATACAGGGAACTTTATACAAAGTTTACCTTTACGATCTGCTGGTTTTCTGTGGGTGTGACAAAGTCTCCAAGAACCTCCTTGACAACGTGTTTGCGTTTAGTGGCCTGTGACATTATAACCGACAGCCTTCACGTTCCTTCGCCAGCTGAGAAAGAAAGAGTGGGTCGAAAGTTCTAGTTAACTAAAGACACATTTAAAGGCTAGACCTAACAGTAACAACCAACGCTGAAAGGTCAGCTTAATGTGATTACCAGCAAAATTTAATATTTTTTTCTTTATAAACGTCTATAAAACTTTCTGTGTACCTTAATAATTTAAACTTCCTCTGCCAATTTTCTTCTAAACAGTAAGTAGTTGCTTACGAATAATAACTTAGCGGAAAAGGCTAACATTAGCTGTCTCCACATTAGCAGGTTAAATACTACCTTGAAAGAAAGAAAGACAGGAGTGGCTGTTTGTCTTTTTGACGTAGAATCTGTCTCCGAGCAGCAGGTATACGTTCGTGTACAAAAAGAACCTGAAATATTCAGTCACAAAAAAAATGGAATGACATGCGTTCTTGTTTTCAGTCCACAGTGCGGGGAAAGACAGGGAACGTTACACTTCCGATGTCAAGTGGGGTATATTTTCAAAATAAAAGTTCCATACGTGTAAAATGTTCATTTTATCGCTAAAAGCCCTTTTAATGACTGGTTAAAATGTGACTAAATTTATGTAAATGAATTTCAGGATTCATTGTAATTCACCGTAAGATTATATCACTAATTTACGACGACTTTTGTTTCTTATTTTAGAAGCTACTGCTAAAGACCAGCTGTTCCGTTACCTTCCCTTGGCATTGTGGGAAAATGAGGTTGTTTTGATTAAAGGAACATTCAAGAACACGAACGTTGTTGCTCCTCTATCGTTCAAAGTGTTTTC